ATATCACCTACACTCAGTCAATCTGTCTCCAACCACACAGTCTGCATCACCCCACATACCTCAAACCAACAGTAAAACACTTCATACATTCAGCACATGTTTTAGTCTGCTACACAGTCAACAGCCTTCTCCCAGCCTCAACCTACTTCCATCAACATTGTGTGACAAAGCAAACGGTGACTAGACATACGTAACACATATCCTAACCATTTCACAGTCCATCAACGTTCACAACCGTGTCAACTGACTTACTTCTTCTCCCTAAAACTCTACACTCACACCTGACTTCTGAGTTACTCACGTGGTGACACCACGGAATACGGCCTACACTACGAAAGGCAACAGTAGTCAAACACTTGAAGCCTTCTCATGTCTTCCACCTTCAATGGCCATGTTTCACAGCCACACAGTAGAACAGACCGGACTGCTGTGCAGTACATGTCACCCTTAATAGACAATCGGGCCTTTTGTACCCAGTTATAGAATTCATCGGTCACTGAGCCACTAGGGCTCATCCCACTTCCCAGGTAAGTGAAGTAGTCGACATATTCAACCACTACACTGTTTACTGTTAGACAAGGCAGTGTTGAAGACTAATCCTGGAGCAATAATTCGCATTTAGGTGGTGAGTAATGCATCCCAAACATTCTCAAATTCCCACTCAAAGTGTTCAGAAGACTCTGCATCTCATCAGTCAGCGTCTTCACCAAACACGACTGACCATGTCATCTGCGTTTTATAGGTCTAACGAAAATTCTCCTGCGATTAGCTCAACTTCAGTGTAGTCAGATGATGAGAGGGAGATCTCCATAACAATATCTATGATAAAACTGAATAAGAATGGAGACAGTGGGCAGCCTTTGACGGACACCGCTCGACGAGCGCAGCTCTCCGGATATCTCAACATAGGTTCTAACACGCCCATAAGTGTTCGAGTAGACAGCCTTCAATAAGGTGATGTACTTACTCGGCACACCTTTCACTGAGACATTGCCATCAGACTTCAATAAATAAATACGTAAATAATACTGTCGATCAATCAACTAACCCAACTTATATCAATATGAGACCAGGTATTACTGCATAACGGTTCAAGTTACCAGATTGCACATCAGCACAACAAGTAACAAAGTAATACAATTAAAGATGAAAAAGGAAAGTGAAACCGGCCAAAAGAAGTAGATAGCAATAAAAAAGGCGAAGGAGAGAAGAGAAAATGCTGAATTCAGTATAGCAACCAAGATTAAGATACTGTGTGGATACATCTGCCCCACTGATATCGATTCCCCTACAGTTTCCAACCACTAGTTTCTCTTGTCTTGCCAATCAGCAACTCCCTACATGGCTCAAACCAGAAATCAAAAGCTTCAACCATTGGTCCCATGTTTTAGTCTAGTCGCCACAACCCTTCCTACAGTCTGAACCTACTTCGACCAACATTGCGCCACGAGGCATACAGTGACTAGGCTGGCATACGTAACACGTGTCCCAACGATCTAAGTCGATCAAGGTTCACAACAACATCAACTGAGATACCTCTCCTCCCTAAAACTCTACACCTGACTTCTGCGTTACTCACATAGTGACACCACGAAACACGGTCTATGCTACGGAGGCAACCGTGAATAAAAATACAAAAAGCCTTCTCATCTCCTTCACTTTTAATGCTGACGCTTCACAGACATACAGTAGAACAGAATGAACTGCAGCGCACCACACTCGACCCTTAATGAACGATCGAATATCGTGGCGGCGTCAGAAATAGCGTAAGTTAGTGAAAGTCAATCGAGCCTTCTCTACCCGTTGCAGAGATTCCGTTGTCCACTAACCCATCAGCGCTGATCCGACTTCCGAGATAGGTGAAGTGGTCAACTCACTCAACCACTTCATTCTCTGTTGTCAGACAGGGTATAGCTGAAAACCAGCCCCCCAAGCAACAATTTGCATTTGGGTAGAGAGAAACGCATCCCAAACATTCTCAAATCGTCAGTCAAGCTGTCCAGAAGACTCTGCATCTTGCTAGCATCTTCATCTAACAGAACTATGTCATCTGCGCATTTTAAATCTAACAAGGATTCTCCTGCGCCCACACCATTCAATGTGATGTCAGAAGACGAGAGATGGGCCTCATCAGAACGTCTATGGTAAAATTGTAGCGGGTGTCAGTAAGCGTATCTGTGTTCCAGAACTTGGTGGAATGTGAATATCTGGTAGATGCATCCACGGCTAGGTCTGAAGCCTGCCTGGTTTTCTCCGACTTGCTATTCCCGAGATTCACTCAGATGTCTAATAGTTGTAGAACCGAGAATCTTAAAGACCATATATTGGAAGGCCGCAGACTGGCACAAAACATTGTTTGTGAGTCTAAACATTTTTCACTTGTTTTTTTTGCACCACTTTTCATAGTATGACTAATAGATCGTTTTCCCACCATTCTCAAAGTAATTCGGTGATTGGTTAATGCTTATTTTTACTATGCTAATGTTTCAATTTCTGAACAAGGTCATATCTCATGTGTGTAAATACACAGGTGTTTTTGGGTTAATTTACTACTCTTCTCGGAGGAATAAACTTCACCATCCAGTTCAGTCTTCTTCTCCATTTCGTACAGGTTGAAGTCGGTGAATCTTGTATAAGAAGTTAGTTGTCAGTTAAGTGTGTGTATAATATCCTCTCGCAATATATATATATATATATATATATATATATATATATATATATATATATATATATATATATATATATATATATATATTCGTCAGGCTGATTCCTACGTGCTTATAACAATAGCACTCCTAGCATTTCTTGAAGACTAAGATAGCCAGTTATTGAAACCAGTTACAGAGGATCATACCTGACTACCATACACTAGTTAACAATTCACTTGACCAATAATCCATAACAACCGTCTGTCAATACCTCCGGAACTAGTCCATCTCGTCCTGCTGACCTTCATCATTTCAAGCTACCTACCGCTTATCGACTTCTGCAAGTGTTGACAGGCCTTATCTCAACGTTCTATTCAGAATCCAACTGGATAGCAGGCAACGCAATAGTTGATGGAGGTCAGTCGAACTATTCGTTTAAGTGTTCCACCCATCGTTCCAGTCGTCTCCACTGCCAGTGAATCGCAGATCTATCCTTCTCTGCTACAGTATCACTAACTATTGATCTTTTCACCCCAGTTCCTGAATAAATCTACTGTTACACATACCAGCTGCCTTCGTTGCTCATCACTGTCCCCGGTAAATGTGTAGATCTTGCAACAGTCTACATTTGAGTTGCGTCCGCTCCTCAATGTACTCGGAGGCTGCAGGGATGAGTTTGCCTGCATCCATCCATTCAGAAGAAGCAGCTAATATCCACTGGCTCTTTCTATCCACTCTCCAACAATCGGCTGTGGTCTTTAACGCTGTTTCCGTAGTAGATTGAGGACAGTGCCAAGCATTTTCTGGATGAGTGATATTGTTCTGTTCCGATAACTGCCTAGCCAGTTTCTCACTGAAATCGGCCTTAGTTCTCACATTGCCGAGCTGCAATCGTAATGGGCTTGTTGCTGAAGGTTTTTTACGTCCATGCAGGCATACATGCAATTGAACTAATGTGTGGTCCTTGTCCAAACGCGTGCTCTAGAAGCAGAGAAGTTGACTCTGGAGGACGCCACGTCAGACAACTTCTCTATTTGTGTCTTAAGCTCGTGCTGACGAGGAATAAACGCTTACCTGAGCACAGTTGTAGTAGGCGATCGTAGCAATCTGTTCGTTCGACTGGGATTCCAAAGCGCCAAGTAAATGCCTGTCTGTCTGACTTAGTCTATTCACTTTTGTATTGAAATCACCTACAACAACTACCACACACTAGAGCTTAGGTTTCATCAGTTGGAAGCTAGACAGTTTTCGGTATAACTCACCCTTCACTTCATGCAAACTGCAGTCAATGGGTGTGTAAAGAGAGATTATAAAACGGTAACTGAGAGTTTCAATACACTTATTTATTACTTACTGTGCCATTCAGTCGAGTAGCGCTTAAACGATTGTCAACTGGGATAGAGTTAAGCAGAAAACTTTCTGCCTTGGCCCTGAATGCTACATCTACACCTGCAAGACAGAAAGTGCATCACTCCACAACAGTATATGTGAATTAAATGGATAGAAAAGCAGTGATATCAAATTGGATAAAGTAGTGTGAGAAGAAGACTGAAGATAACGGTTAGTGCAAATATTCAAGCTCTAGATGTTAAGCAGTGAATACATCTGCGCCATTGTGACCGATTTCTAGTCACGTCATCAAGAGTCTTCAACTGCAGATTCTTTTCGTCTCGGGAACCCCAACCAAACAGTCTACATCTCCAACACAACTCAGACCAACAAGTCAGGGACTTCATACTGGGTAATGATTGAAGGCAGAGCATCGGGCAGGAAACCTCCGTGGTCGCTGGTTCGAATCCGGTCGCAGTCCAAATTTTCATAACACCTTCAATCATCACTCAGTATAAATACTAATCTACCAAACTGCGGCTATCTCAGATAGTCAAGTGATAATGAGGGACTTCATCGACTGGTCATTGTAATATACAAACCCGACCACTACCTTGAGGTAGCAGCAGCTATTGACCACCCAGTGTTAAATCAAATAAGCATATTCAATGTGGAGGGGAAATTCACATCTAAAATGATAACTCACTGAAAAAAAGTCAATTTTAAGCAAGAATTTCAATAATCAGCACAACCTAACGTATGTTAGCACAAACTTAACAAGTGTTTTGACTATAGTGTACATCTTATGCCCTAACAAGTAAAAGAAGTTATAAATGACGTTACAAACTCCACTATATTTTGATAACTAGCACCATCACCCATTCACAATAAACCATACAACTGGTCGACAAAGATCAGTTAACCATTCAGACCACTTATCAAAGATATACGATGCAAATATAAACTGAATCACTTCTCATGAATAACTATACCATGGAGTTTAATAACTATGTCTTATCTTACCGATGCAGATGTATGAGTTCCATTAGTAGTTACAGAACAATCCATGGTACTCTCCTTAGACATATTAGTTAACCTACTGGATCTACGTCTTGGTCTTGATTTCTCATCTGTACTTTCATTGACTGACAATGTACTTTCATCCATTTGAGTGACTTCATCTGTCATCACTTCAGTAGTTTTAATGGCATCATCCCGATCACGATCACGATCAACATCATCATCTGATTCACAATGACTAACAGAAGGTGAACGAAAACCATTTGTATTTGATCAGCTGAACGTGATTCTGTATCATCATCGTCATCATTATCCCCGTCAACATAACGATTTCTGTTAGTAAGTCCTTTTAAAATCTGGCGAGCATGACTCTTAATACAGAAACGGTAACCTCCAATAGCTAATAAAAAAATGGAAATAAAAGAATACAGAATGTAAGAAATAAAGAGAAACTCAACACTATGGTAACATTTTTCTACAGTATCTTATTTCATAACAGCATAAAGATAGAGGAATGATGAGTGATTTCGAACTCCACTTTGCTAACTACTAGTTTCAGTTATTCTAAAGACTTCAGACAAAATGCCTAACATGAAATTGTAGTTCATTTTTATCTAGACTGTTTACTTTCAACCAGCTGGGCCATGAGTTCGAGTTCAGTTCTATCCATAGGGGGCCTTAGTGAAAAGGTGATACCGCCAACCATAAGGTGTGGCTCACCTCTTAGTCCATGAACATGCATGCCATTACTGAGTTTGCTTTTTCGAGAAGAGAGAAGATAAATAGCAGTGAAGTCTTCAGAAGCTTTTCCATATCCAATCATTAATAAGCTAACCATTTTCAGAATTTATACTGTAAATTAAACTATCAAGTAGGTTTTTTGTGTACATGAAGTTTAAAAAAATATTTTACTGTTTTATGTATTAGGCTTAGCCATTGTCATTAATTATTATACGCACGCCTAACTTTGTATGCAAGATCCAACCTGAACAAAGTAGAAAAGAAGACTGAGCTGTATGGGAGTAAATATACCTCCGAGAATAATAATCAATTAAACTAAACACGCATGTGTATATTTACACATGAGATATGACCTTGTCCAGAAATTGAAACATTAACATGACAAAAGTAAACATTGACCAATCAGCGAATTACCTTGAAAATGACACTACTGGTCATGACGTAAAAAAAGGCGCGAAAACGATAATTCAAAATCGCTTGCATTAATAAACAATATTTTATGCAAATTTGAGGCTTTCCAACACTTAGTTGACCAAGGAGAAGATACAATGGAAAGTATGGTACTTTAATTCAAATTCTACTACTCTTTTGTGATCCAGTAGTAAATATATAGCGCATATTTAAAGACAACAGAAAGTAGAAGCTAATCAACAATATAGTGTGTGAATCTTAACTAAAACTGAATTGATAACCAGCTAAGTGTATTCCTACTGAATATATCTCCATCATAGATATCGTAGTAGATGTTGACATTGTATCATGTATGCACTGAGAGTACATATGCCAAGTGGCATTGTGAAGTGATTATTTTGAAAGTTATCAACAACAATCTAGTAATATTATCACTCCTAGCAGATTCAACAAAATCACATCAAAAAGAATTACTTAACACAATGCTAACTTATTGTAGGTAACATTGATAGTTTCATGTTTATAACCACGTCTCAGTTACAATTGGATTCATTTTAAAAAATTCATTAAGTCGAAGTATACAAGTGTAGTATACGATTTTGCTAGGGATGCCTATATATTTCATGCTGACAATTTCCATATATTTCAACTGTTTCTTTCGCGCTCTTTTCTCCGCACATGGGTTACAGTTTATATAACCCGCTGCGTTCTGATTGGCTCCTTCAAGGTTAGCTTTAAACACTATTTATAGGGGCTATTTTCACTAATAAACCTTTTCAGTCCGAAGTACTATAAACTCAATTGATTGCCAGCCTTTGCGAATCACTTGAGTTGAGTCATCTCAACCCTAGACTATCAGTCGTCAATTATTATCGCTTGTCCGTACAACTCCGCTTTGTTACAGATCTATCCTCCTCAAGCTAACATTTAGTGAAACATTATACTATACAAATAAAAATAATTGCTTCAAAACAACTTATACTGATTGTTTTATGTCGAGAGAATTCACTGAACTGACGCTGTATATATATTCATTCCAAAATGATAGCAATTAATCCATCCTCCATATCAACATAGGACCAGGTATTACTACAAAACGGTTCAACTTGCCACATCTCATATCACTACATCAAGTAAAAAGGCACTCAACTCCAAGATGAAGATTACAAAATTCAATCAATACAAATATTAACTACTAAAACAGAGAAACGAACAATCAGATAATACTCACATTCCGTAGAGCGTTAACATCACGATCATGTGTGTCGGGATACATATGCACCACTAACATCGCTTCTCACACATATCACCTACACTCAGTCAATCTGTCTCCAACCACACAGTCTGCATCACCCCACATACCTCAAACCAACAGTAAAACACTTCATACATTCAGCACATGTTTTAGTCTGCTACACAGTCAACAGCCTTCTCCCAGCCTCAACCTACTTCCATCAACATTGTGTGACAAGCAAACGGTGACTAGACATACGTAACACATATCCTAACCATTTCACAGTCCATCAACGTTCACAACCGTGTCAACTGACTTACTTCTTCTCCCTAAAACTCTACACTCACACCTGACTTCTGAGTTACTCACGTGGTGACACCACGGGATACGGCCTATACTACGAAGGCAATAAATCAGTGGGAATTGAAAGTAACATGGAAATCAACCGAAAATGCAGGAAATGTAACATAACAGATAAGGTCGCAGTTACGCCACCTACAAAAAACCAACTGGATGATGACTGATGATAGTTGAATGAAGTAGGGGGAAACTTGAATCTATAACCTAATTGCCGATGATAATCGAAGCTGTATGACAACGAGTAACAAATACTGTTGTGTAAACAGTTCACATGTAACATAATAAAGTGTAACTCAATCCAGAATAGGTATGTGTGCTAGAATATAAGCCACAATTGAAGTGTGCAGAACTTTTATATCACTCTACAGTTCAGGCCGAATACCAGGACTTGTCTGCTGTAAGTACGCCCAGCTTAATGATAAGGAGTGAAGAGGTGAGATGTGTCGACCACTTTGCCTACTTGGGGAGCTGCATCAGCCTAAATGGGCTGGTTGCTGACAAAATCTCAACTCGGATATTGAAGACCCGTTTGGTATTTGCCATCTTGCGTCATTTGTGGCGCCAAGTGACAAGATATCCCGCTACCTATCGAAAAACGAGTATAATACGCCAATACGGTTCGTCATCTGCTGTTGTACGGCTGTCAGACACGGCCATTAAAAGTCGAAGATACAAAGCAGTTACAGGTTTTTGACCACAGATGTCTTCGTAGCATCGCCCGCGTTTGCTGGAATCGTCGTGTTAGCAATGCTAGGATCAGGCGAAGGGTACTAGACAAGACAGGTAAGTCAATTGATGACGTCGTGAACCTTCAAAGACTGAGATGACTTGGACATGTACTGCACATGCCGACACCGCCTACCTTGGTGTGCCATCCTAGAAGAAGTTGGATTACGTTAGAAGACGGCTCAGGGTGATCAGACCAAGACGTGTCACCAGTCGACGAAGTCTCCGTTGGCCTGAGTCATGTCAGATGTGGACTGTCTGGCTGGGGTTCCCGAAACAAAAGAAATCAGTGGTTGAGGACTCTTGGTGACGTGGCTGAAAATCGGTCACAATGGTGCAGATGTGTGTGTCCTAAAGCTTGAATATTTGCACTAACCGTTGTCTTCAGATTGTTGATTCTCTCATACAACTTTGTCTACTTTAATGTCACTCTTTTTCTATCCACTTGGTCTTTGTGTATCACTGTAAGTTGTGGCAACAATAGCCAATGCACTTCTGTGCGAGGTTCTACGTTGATTTTGTTTGTCAGTCAGTCGGTCAGTGCTGACCAAATTAGGTGGAGAGGGAGGGGATTTATACCAAGTCACAAATTCAGTATGGTATGTAATAAACAAACAGAAACAGTATTGATAATGAGTGATGATAGAAGGTAAAATGACAATCTGGATGACCGGTCTGGCACCCCTATCAACTCAGCTACAAGATTTAGCTGCTGATCAGGTCTTAACTTCACTCTAGTCGTCAAAACTCCTGTGCGGCTACCATGTGAATCTATGATATGGTAACTGCCTGTTCAGTATAAACACACTGGCTGTTCAACTAGATCTTCTCGGTCCAATTCAAATCAAGTTGAATTAGAGAGAAAGAGGGTCGTACTGAGTATTACTGAGAATAACTTAGATAACCGTAGTTTGCCAGGTTGGTGTGATTGATATTGAGTAAAACCTTAAGTGAGTAAGGTGAAGCAGCTGTATCTCATAGCCCATTTGATAGAGCATTACATGGCTAATTTAGAGGCCACTGGTTTAAGTCATGCTGCAATCCAGGTAATCACTTCACCATCAATCATCGACTAGTCTCAATGAAACTAGTCTGACAAAAACTGTGGCTATCATAGATAATCGCATTATTAGAAACATTATCTCTATAGCATAACTGTTATAATTTGGAAACTGTATATGCTATGAGCTATAGCCGCTAACGATGCACAGATATCGAGTATCAGCCACTAACGTTCAACAAATGCCTAGTTGATTTTTGACCCGACTAACCAATGGAGAAGACACGATGGGCGTGTAGAAACATGTATTGGGTTCGAAAGACCGAGGACCCACAAAAAAAGGAAAATACAGCTAATATATAGCTGGGTCCCTATGAGTCGTAACCGAAACCTGATCATATCTCTCCCCACTCGCACTAGACGAATCTGCAGTCCCGATGTGTTAGAAGAAGAAACTTCTGTTCTAAAGAACATCCTGATTAAGAACGGATTCCCATCACGCTTCATAGACAAACACATCAAACCTAAACCTTGCAAAAAGAACCTTATCACCGTGCCAAAAAAAATACCCTATATGAATCTCAACTTCAAAGGTGATTCTGCGCTGACACTCTAAAAAGGAGGATATCAAACGCTCTAAGGAGAACGTTCTTTGCATCAACGCCAAGACTAGCATTCTCTTGTTGTCCAACGATTTCTAACTACTCAAAGGAAAAACTTTCACATCTGACCACTTCTATATGCATTTATCAATTCCCCTGCTCTTGTGGAGTCAGGTATATAGGTCATTCAATGCGACTCTTATCCAAAAGGGTTCAAGAGCACTTTCCAGCGAGTTTACAAAGAAGTAACAATGGAGCGATGAGGAGCGCTATAACTGAGCACGTGGTGAACACAAAACCACCCTGCCTCAAAAACCTCCTCGTTTAATGTCATCCATAAAATAAAAAGAAACCTTCCAAAGGCTATGTCTTCGTATTCTCTGCATCTCTTAAGATTAGATCAACCCCCTCCCCTTAGTTTTCAATCTCCTCTACTCCCCCACCCACCCACCTTTTTCTTTTCGTTTTTCTGTTTTGACACTATTCACTTATTAAGTAATTTGCTAGCCTTTCTTGTTGCTACGCTCTATCTGATTACAATTCAGTTTCCCAACTATGTCGTCATGTTACGAAACTTCTTGTCCAAACTTATTTTGATCAAAATTCACTACTCATTAGTTTTTTGGTTTTGTGATTTTAATGACAGCTCATTTATTGACATGACTTGTGTTCCTAAGCTTAATGAACCGTTTTTAACTATCAAATCTTTACACACTAGAATACAACTTTGAAAATGAAATCGTTGAAAAGAGACTTTTTGCTGAAATAGACTTGTTCTTCTTCAGTGTACAGATAGTTCACCGTTTAAAAAACTATTGATTGGCTCAATCAACATCCGTTTGATAATATAAGGTACATTTTGATTGGTCCCCCTGTAGACTAATCATTTCTCTTTATCCCTATAATAATGAAGAAGGGAGTGATAATCAATTCTTAACAGAATACGCAAAAATGGAAATGTATAGAACACTTACCAGTACGAGTTAACTGTTGAGATAAAAACTGACGTGTTGGACCATTAAATGATGCATAAGGGGATGGATTCAAACAAGGATCACTTTTAATAAACTCCGAAACAATTTGATCATCAATATCTTGAAAATTTTCAAATGGAACTTCGTCTTTTTTATCATTTTTACTATTAGATGAAGATATACGCGTTTTACTATTTGATGTACCACTGTTACAAACAGTACTTGGAGGAGTTGAATTTCTTTCTGATAAACGTCTTTTCTTTCCTTTGTCAGATACTTCAAGATTCCCAAAGACAGTGGAAGAATTATTATCATTAGCGGTAGGAACATTAACAGTACATTGTTCAGTTACTCGATACCATCTACGATAAACATCACGTGCTAAAGATGGATGAATCCAATTAGGTAAACGTTGCACTGATCCAGGAACGGATAAACCATTTTCTATAAGAGAAGTATTATGCTTATTTAACTCTTCAACACGCTGTATATCTTGTTTGGATTTTGAACAACGAAGTTTTCGCTTTCTATTACTGGAGAGATTATTCAAGTTAGTATTCTCTTCACTTTCTTCTACTTTCAAAGATTCATTCATTACTTCTGTTTTATTTACATCAGTGTTATCAAAACCAGTTGTATTTGTAGTATTCTTTTCAGAATTATATCCAATTGGTCGATATTTTATATAAGGAATTCGATATATTCTCAATGAGGTTGCAGGATCAATGCCTAACAGATTAGGAAAGTGTACATAGGTATATTTTGAAAAGAAGTCAGTCCCTAAATGTACTGGATTCGATGCTTCCCAATCAGCTGATCTGTCCAAGGACATTCGAAGATTTTCAAATGTTCGCTATGAATAATTAATTAATTGTTAAGAAGAAAAAATATATATAATTCCATAAGAGAAGAAGAATTATTTGAATAATAAGCATTAAAACTATGTAACCGGGTAAAAATTAAATCATTTGGACGATTTGTATTTAAACAAACTTCTGTAAGAGGTGAAAACATACACAAATTCGCCTGTTTCAAAGTGGTTTTCTCATCATGCTATGGGGTCAACTAAGTCAGGAGTGAGTATAAATGTTGACCGATGATATTGGATGATGGTGGAAAAGCCAGAGCCGGTAGATTTAAATCTAGTGACCGAATGTTACGGAGCTGACTCGAAGATCTGACGGTCTTGTAGTCATTCGGTGCGCACTGCTAAGAAGACCAAAACTAGGATAAAATAGCTGTTCAGAGCCTTCTGGTTTTTAATGGTATCCAGGGTGGAAACTACTTTCAAATCAATCAGTCCGCAGAAAACCCTGAATTAAATTTACAAACTATCGAGAAACTGACCGAATTAAGTCAATATTTAGCACAAATAAAGCTTTTCTTTAATCACTCCAGTGGCATTTCTCGTATCATTGACTATATTACTTATGAGTAACTGATGTTTTATGTGCACAATTTCTCACTTTCCTCTCATTGGCTGTTTGTTACTGTCGTCTGATTGGTGGAAGTTATGAGTTGACCTTCAGGTCTATTGGACTTCGATAACGCTATAAGAAGGCAAAGATTATCTGAAAAATGTGATGTATTTGCGCAGTACATTTTGAATAATCTGATCACACATTTACTTGTCAAGTCAATCTATATATGCGTACAATACAATATACAATGATACAATATATATTTATATAAATTGATTTGACAGGTAAATGTATGATCAGATTATTCGAAATTTATTGCACAAATACGTCACATCATCTTCTAAAACCGTTACCGAAATTTATGAAAGGGACTAATTGTTTTCATATTGAACATTTTATTTTCATCGTTTGTTAACTGTAGTTTGCATGGTGTTTTTCCTAAGTCACCTCGAATACAATTGAACGGATTTATGCATTAATCATTATTAAATATAGAATTAATGGTTATTGTTAAGAGAAAACTAGACAGCCTTCTGATTTTACACGACTCTTAGGTGCATTTATTCGAGGGGAATCTTACAGACATTACAACTAGTTTTTTCGTTTAGTTTTTGAAGTAACAGGTCACAACAAAGCTAATAATGAGTTGAAAGTATTCATATTGAGAGTTGATTTTTATCTACCAGCTATTTGTGAATCCCAGTGTGTGTCGGGTTGAACCAATAAGACTATGTTCCAAAGGATCCCAGAATTGGTACATATATGAATGAAGCAGTCAAAAGATTGCAGCTCATTTACAAGGAGTAAGGGTTTACACACTTTAACTCTGATCACAACTAGTATGTGTAGACGGGGATTTATGATACTACCTGGCTGTCCAGGTCAAACAGGGTTCGAATTGAAAAACTATTGGTCAAAAATCAAACGATGAAGCTAGTAAAACACATTTCTACAAAACTAATGTCTTCAATAGAATTATTATTAGATACGACGGGAAACCAAGTTGCTATACAAAATGGTGATAAAAATACAATATACACACCATGATTACACATACAATGCATGAAATGATTCTTTCTTAAGGCCTTTAACAAAGAAAATAGATCAATATTCATGGCCTAATATAGCCAGGTTTGTGACTATATGGACTTTAGTAACACACAGCTCCTTTCAGAAATCTTGGTCTCGGTTTGTGAGAGATCCTTGAAGGGGAGAGTCATGAGTGCCCACTGTTTTGGTACCCTATGCCAATACCTCCAGTCTTTTTATTGACTTTCTAAATGACGTCATTTCATGATAAATACTAATCTAAGATAAATAAATAACTTGTTTTCATATACCAAACTCGAAAAAGTAATAAACTGAGTTCATTTAACAGTCTGACCTTCCATACAGGAAGAAGAATCTCGTGCAGAACACATGACTTCTATTTCCTCTCATGTATTTTAAGTATCACCGATTAATACATCTAAAATTTTCATAGAACTTGTTACATCTAAACTAATCACTTTGGGATCGCTGAGCACGGACTCGTTTCCTCATGAAAAAGATCAACTTTTAATCTTCTCGGTAAAGACATTCTAAAGCATTTTGTAGTTTTTTACCCCCTGCCTCTCTGCTTACGCCTCACGTATCCTTTGGTTGTGATGCAATAAATTCCCCACCAATGATATATATATATATATATATATATATATATATATATATATATTCTGCAGTCCAGTTTCGAACTTATGTCGCGACAATAAATCGCACGCTTCCGTCTTCCCTTGGAGCCACGAAGCTGTCTAAGAATTACTCTGCTCTTTAGTTTTCGATAGTAAATCTTTCCTTCAAACTATTTCTCAGAAACTAGTTCCTCACTACCCTTTCATGGAGTATCAAACACCCGCACACTTCCGATAGCATACAAAACCCAGGTAAATCAAAAAACAGTAGTGAGTAGAAAATTGATTGAGTATTATAAAGATGGACGTCCAACTTAATAGGCGTTAAGAAATACATCGCGTCTCCACTGAATTTTTTCACGAGTAACCATTTACTAAAGAATCCTTTCCGTCGTTACTCAATAGCAACAAAATCAATTTTACGAATAAAAATTACGATAACTCTGAATGAAATGGCTTCATACTCAGGAAGCTTAGCTCGAATTATCTAAATACACACTGTCTACTTGCTTTGCCTTCTTTTGAAATACATATAGAATGAATTACGTTTCGTGGAGTTGTGAATCACTGATTTGGGGAGATGACTTTCAACCAGTGGGTTTCGATTTCAAACAGTGCTCCACCTACAAAAGTTTGAGTAACCCGGTAGCATCATAAGCCCTCGCACAATAGGTGTGGTTCATTGCCTAATGCACGAATGTGCACAAGATTGCTGGATTGATTTCATTCAGAAATAAGTTTACTTGCCTGCATATATAGTGCCCAACCAAACCAATTCAACTACTTAAAACCCGAGAAAAAAAACTGTTAAACTCACCAGTGTCGATTCACAGAGAGCAGAAAGTAGCATGACTTGCTGATACTTTGACAATTCATGAAAACGTTGCTTTCCCAACGGATTCGACTTGTAACCACAGACATCAAAAAACGTTTTGGATAAGCCTAAGCGACGTGTAGCCTACGAATGAAAAAAAAATGTGAAAAATTAAGCATGAATACCTATAGAAAATGAAGTAAATGAGTAGTTTGAGAAGCCTACATGTCAAAAATGAATAAGCTAAATTATCCATTTCGCCTTTAACTACTATCAAATGTACGAGTAGTATATCACTTTTTCTAAAGAAAGTCATATCTGAGCTGAAGGAATCTTATGCTTGAAACAAGTTTTACGGCGAAATGCATTTTGTGTAGATAGTAAATATAGTTCATAGAAGACTCCACCTATTCAATAAATTGAGAACTTGTCTTCAATATGCTAAAAACTAAATGAGGTCAAGAAAGGTCAACAGAAGTCAACTAACATTAGTATGATTGCTTGCATTATACTGTCGCTGATTGGATCGAATTGATCGGTCTCTATTTGCATATGCAGTCCTGTACGGATGCCTCGATATTACCTGTGTTCAAATTAAAGTAATGATGGATAGAGGGTAGCAGTAAAATCAAGGATGAGCATTTCGTCCTATCTGGGACTTGTCAACTGGATGTACCTGCCTCCCGAGTCCGAATCCTGATGGAAACAACATCACTCACTGGATAGCAGGTACATCCAGCTGACGAGTCCCAGACAGGACGAAATGGGCATCCTGGATTCCACTGCTAGCCACTATCCACCAACTAATATTAGCCAACACCTGCGAACTGATTAGATCAAACTGTCTACTAATTGCAAATGAGACAACCTGTCTCAAAAGGTGATTATTTTGTATCTATTGCTACAGACAATTGAATTTACAATTAATAATAATGCACCAGCCACACTTGTGGTGCGAAGGTTTATGACAACACCCGGTGTGGGATTTAGCCTCAGGACTAACCGCTTGAAAACCGAACGTTAGGGAAGTTGGAATAGGTTGGAAGAGGGTTCATCGTGGTCAGACCAAGACGTAGAATCAGTCAATGAAGTCCCTGACTGTTGGTCTGAGTCGTGTCAGGAGATACCCACTGCCTGGTTAAGGTCCCCGAGAAAAAAGGAATAACTGGTTGAGAAGTCTTCGTGACATGGTTGAACATCGGTCACAATGGAGCAGATTTATTCACTTCTTGACATCTTCAAAAGCTAGAATATTCAGATTATTTATTGTCTCACACAAATTTGTCTACTTTGGCATTACTATTTTTCTATCTATCCGTTCTTTATATGCCATTAGGAAGTGTAGCAACAATGAACTACAGTTTCTTACTATCACTTCACAAATTGTCTCCCTAATTGGAAATATTAGTTGAGTTTCATGAATGTGAGGATTTATGGTAATCCAACTAAAACATGGCAACTGGTTGTTACTTTCCCCCATGTACTGTATTATAGACCTGCTAGTAGACAGAAAATGAATAATACTAGCTTCACAGTGAAGGTAATAGCTGGTAGAATGTAAAATCACTGACACATCTAATCCACCAGCATGTAAAACTTCCCTATGTCATCAAGTTTTTTTCTGGTGTTGTGTTCTCTCAGCTGGATGATTAGATCACCAATGCTCAGAAAACCCACTGAAACAGTTATGCAATGTATCAAGTAATCGGAATGCCTGAATATGGTTGAAGGTGGTCTCTACGAAGCTTTGCTTAAAGTAGGTTTCCTGTTTATCACCACTCATCTCTAGTATACCTTTTAAAAGCCCACACTGTTTGCTAGCAGATAAAAAGTTTATACTTCACAGTTTTAACCATTTAGATTACAAGCAATCAACTGCATCAACACTGACTGTGATAAACAAGTCAAAGAAACATCAAACTTGCAGTATAGAGACATTGTGACATTGAGATACCAAGGAATATGATTCAGAAGCAACTACAGAAAAACAGATGCATCCACACCTTTTAAGTTGCTAACATTCTCTATTTTATTAGAAGATAAAGACCATTGGATTCCACCCAGTGTGGCTCGATTGCAGCATCCTAGCCGAGGAACCTGAAAGTTCTGGGTTCGATCCCTGGTGGTGCGGAGTCGTGGGTGGGCACTGCTGAGGAGTTCCATACTAGGACGAAACGGCTTTCCAGTGCTTCTAGGTTTCCAATGTTCCTCTAACTGATGTCAGTCCATGACGAAAACCAACTTGAAACCATCTTACTAGTTAATACTATTGCCTTGACTGAGTTTACTCACCTTTGTATCAAATTCCCTACATTCATAATTTTTTTTTAACTATCCCAGCTATACTGAAATGAAGAATACTAAGTAATGATACATCACTCTTCGAAGAATTTCATTTCTCAATGGAAAAGTCTGCAGAAATATTAACTGAATGTAAAACAATGTTAAGTATACATTAGATTATACTTCTGCCTTTGACTCTATCCCTAAACCCCTCTTATTAAACAACCTTCCCAGTGCTCATATTGAGTTCTGGATTGTAAACTGGGTTGATAGATACTTTTCTGAGAGAAGACAGTATAGTCTATACAGAGGGAAACGCTCTACTTCCTTGCTTAGTGGAGCCGATGTGCCTCAAGATCTTATTCTTTCTCCTTTCCTTTTCTCTTTCTTTTTGCATGACTTACCAACTTCAACTTAAGCTAACTTTGTTAAGTATGCTGATGACCTGACAGTATCCATGACGATCATCCCGTCTCAGTTTAATAACTTCCTAAAAGAAATTGGTTACTGGTTTTCCTGAAAGAGGCCTCGTACTCAATCCCACCAAATGTCAGATGGTTAATTGTAGCTTAAGACACGAAAAAGACCTCTGCACGTTGCTTCTATCCCATGACTCTTGTCTTATATATGGTTCTGTTATAGAGAATGTACCAAGCGTGGTCCATCTTGGCTTATGCTTTTTTTCTGATCTTTCTTGGTTCCCTCATACCTTACTAATTTCTAGGAAAATCCTTCGCTTGACCTTTTATATTAGGAGACTCAGAATGTCTAGCATAACTCAGCCTCTACTCCTACATTTTATTAATTCTGATAAATGCAGTCGAGGATAGGCATCTGAACTTTGCTAGATTTCTGGCTAAACATTTATCATCTGGTGACGAGCGTCCTCTGCATCCGCACTTCTCTCCTTGTTTGTCATCTGGGAAAACAAGAACCCAGCATCTATCATGCATATCAACATAACCAGGTATTACTACAAAACGGTTCAACTTGCCACATCTCATATCACTACATCAAGTAAAAAGGTACTCAACTCCAAGATGAAGATTACAAAATTCAATCAATACAAATATTAACTACTAAACAGAGAAACGAACAATCAGATAATACTCACATTCCGTAGAGCATTAACATCACGATCATGTGTGTCGGGATACATATGCACCACTAACATCGCTTCTCACACATATCACCTACACTCAGTCAATGTCTCCAACCACACAGTCCGCATCACCCCACATACCTCAAACCAACAGTAAAACACTTCATACATTCAGCACATGTTTTAGTCTGCTACACAGTCAACAGCCTTCTCCCAGCCTCAACCTACTTCCATCAACATTGTGTGACAAGCAAACGGTGACTAGACATACGTAACACATATCCTAACCATTTCAGTCCATCAACGTTCACAACCGTGTCAACTGACTTACTTCTTCTCCCTAAAACTCTACACTCACACGTGACTTCTGAGTTACTCACATGGTGACACTAAGGAATATGATCTATACTACAAATGCAACGGTGGTCAAACACCTGAAGCCTGAAGACAAAAAAATATATGTTAAACTGTATGCACGCACAACCACACACAAAAATTCAACCATACCACCTTATTTAGCTTGGGTATTGTGTGAAGAAAATCTTGTTAAACGTAGTCTTATCAATCAACTGTGTAATAGCGAATAGTTATCATGTCCCTGAAGTCATTAAACATTTCAACAATCCTCTTATTCGTTAGTGTTTATTATATATCATCAAACAGAACCATTGTTAGTGTTTTGAAAATGTTATACAATTGGCAACACACTGAGAATTCTGTACTGTAAACATAATTATGGTGTGGAGTAAAGCAAGTATATTATTATCATTATTATTAATACTATTATGTTTAAAACAAAATTTAAAAGTATTTACCCATTCAACAACACCTCTGCCTCTATCCCAGAACGATCTATACCATGAATCAACTCGAGTAGATAATCGACGTTCCCATATATCATAGTCAATCGGAGGTAGTGTAACTGCATTCGATAGAAGAGTACGAGATCGTCTTGTTGTAGAAGAAATACAATCTGTACTAGAGTCTACTCCAATACTTAGATTATTACTGCTGCCTCCATTAGTGCTGTTACTTAATACATTGACAATTTGACTTCTTTCCTTTGATGTAGCTAACAGATTGCACATGCATACACTTAGAATAAGACTAGCACGTGGTGCTGTACACAATCCAATCTCCAAATCGAATAAAGACAGATTACGAGCATGATTTGTAATATTCGCTGAGTTGATAGAGAAATTATTGTTATAAATAGTCATACAATCACTTATACCCAAGAATGGATCAGCTAACCACAGGAATTGGTAGGCTTCCAAAAGCTGAAAAATATGGAATGAAATATAACACAAGAGACTTTACTGAAATTAGCAAAACTGGAGATTATGAGAATAAAGGTGGGTATAGACTGATGCCACCTATTAAATAGTTGAAAATATTTTCCGTTTTAATGAGGATTCGTGACTCATGGGGGCCTACGAAGTCAGGCGTGAGGACAGTTATACAACAACGATACTGAAGGGAGGTTGAGTTATGTCGTGGAACCTGAAGGTGCTGGGTTCGATCCCCAGCGGGGTCACAGGTGTCCACTAACGGGATTCCCATACTAGGACGAAGAAGCTGTCCATTGCTCCAAGGCTTCTAATGTTTTTGAAAATGATGTTAGTTGATGGTGAATATCAATCTGAAATCAACAAATAAATCCTTACAAACCTTCAAATTGTCTCTTTTTGTTTAGGTTTATTCCGTAACTTCGGAGATACGATACACAACTTTCAGATAATATCAATAAAACAAGATACCATATCGATTTCAAGAATATCTAACACCACAAGAACTAAGCCATCCCTGGAACGACTGGATTCAAGGCAGGTTTATTCATATACTGAGATTTAAACAATCTATAGAACAGTACAATCACACAGAAGTGTAACAATTACACAACACTCAACTGATCAAAACATTTACTTTCATAGGGGAAGTGAACCAAGTTTTTGATACACACCGAGATGGTTTACATTACAAACTAATATTAATTGAAAACTGGAACTAATGAACTACTAAAACTTCCTACTGAAAAACTACCCAGTAGTATACATACTTAACTTTGCTAGGCACTGGTATCCACAACCCTCAAACATCAAAGTATTGTTATACTCTTTCAATGACTGTCCAATATACCCCGATTACGGATTAACAACGATTAGACTGATGTGTACATACGTCGTTAAGGTGTTAAGAGCCAATAATACGACTACACTTCAGCGATACTGAACTATTACTACTATCATTATCATTATTATTAGAACACAAGCATGGTTAAAGAAAAAGGGCACCAAGAACTGCACCACATAAAATAATATAACAACATTATGAAGACGTAAAGCAAAGTAAAGTGAATTAAAAGAAAACACAATACAAGTAGAATGGTTAGAAAGATATCTAGTAAAATACCTTCATAACACGTTCACCAACAACAGAGAAGAAAGCTACACCATGACCGTCACACGCTCACATTCTCAGCCATGTCTCATAACGTATTAAATCACTGAGTTGTCTAATCTCTCCGAACCACACACACCCCCACCCCACCTTCCCCGCCCCATACACACACACACACACACACAGAGTCGTGATGCAACAACAGATCCTAACTCCATACAACCACCACTCATCACACAATGCCACCTCACACACTGACAACCCCTCCGCTTCTCCCACCCACCCATCCATTCATCCATCCATCCACCCGTCCATCCATCCAGTAACAAAGCTACCAAACAATCAACGGTATAAAAGCCGTTAACACAACTTGCATAACATATACCCAAGTCACCCAAACCGGTGTTTCCAGATGAATTCACCCATTGAATTATGATCTACATCATAACCGAACACACTCTGTAGTACCTCACTATTACTTACATCATGCTGCCGATGGATACCAGTAATCCTACGAAAACAACGATGATCGAACACATAGGGCCGTCACACATACTCAGCTTGGAGAGGCCAGGTTTCACTGGTATAGAGCAGAACTGTTCACACCGAAGGATTGTAAATCCAACCTTTAAGGGTCAGACTAACATCGTGACGGCACCAGAGGTGGACTATATTGACGTATGCTACTCTGGTGTTCGATATGCGGTTGGAAATTTCATTACTCACACAACCACTCAGATACACAAACTTTTCGCCTACTTCTAAAGGCTCATCACCAAGGTTGAGCTCAGGCACGGACTCCTGTCAATCTTGCAAAAGTATTTTGCACTTCAATGGTGTAAAGCACATGCCATACTTAACAGGATTCTAGCAGAGTATGAGATTAATCAAAAAGCGTTAGAAAGTAATAAAAAATTCCCACAACCCACTCACACACACACACACACCAGAAAAGACGTATTCGTGTATCTTTTGGCACTCAGAAACAAAAAAGGCAAACAAACCTCAGGTGCATTAAATATAATCTCTTGCATTTTTGGTCCACTTTTATCAATCCACCAATCATTCCAAGAATTCAATAACTCTTCTTCATGTCGTCTACGCTGCCATAAACTTAATCGAGACACCAATAATGCAATATTCTCCTCAGTAGTTAAAGTATTATTGACAGTTGATGATTGTTGACTAGATGTATTACCACTAGAATCAATTCCATTCGAGACTAATGTAGCCGCTATGCCTCCACTAACAGATCCAGAATGTGGGACATGCTCCAACTCTTCCATGATAGCACGTATAGGAGTCAACTGACGTGAGTCACCGGAGAGAAATAAACGTCCAGAATTTCGACGACGTGTCACACCTATGAAAAGAAAGTATAAGTGACAAATATTTCGCACTTGGACATCAAGCGTAAAAACAGGCATGACTCAAATTTATTCACATTGCACAGTACATAGATCACTAAACCCCATATTTATCCAGGCCAATAACAGATGAGATTTCCAATTACAGACCCATAGCTAGAGCGGCCACCTTTGACACCGAATTGAATTTAGTGTGCTTGTAAGAGGTTGGATTTACGATGCACCGATGCAGCCAGTTCTGCTCTACGCCTGACCCTTTCGAGCTTAAGATGTCCGAAGACACTACATATTTCTCTTATTCCAGATAGCCTCATCATTTAAGTAATTATGATATGATGTGGCGCATGTCTACGTGTGATGGAGAAGACTATTTATTGAATGAAATCACCTTGCGATAGCGGCTTCAATGACCAAAACATGTTTTATGAATGTCTTTACAATACGTCATATGCAATTCAGTACTGACTGACTCCAGAACTAGAACGAAACAAAGAAAAGGCGACCAGTGTTTGAAGTCAAAAGCGAAAAGAGGTAACAGAAAGAAAAAAAAAGAAAGTTTGAAGCAAACCTTTGTTGAATTTCTGTCATTCTTCACAATAACACTACATGGTCACCACTGGTTTCGATTCAGTACTTTACATAATGATGCCATCTTCAGCCAGTGAGTTACATGAAGTCTTGGATTCCATGCAACCCAACACAACTACCCTTTATCTTACAGTGTCGCATCGTACACTGATCATCTCTCGGGTTCTTCTGAATGGTCCCAGGGTTACCATATAGTGAACGGTATGTGAGCTGCTGGGACGATACGCCTAACACACATATCCAGGCCAACGAAATAGGTGTTTCAAGATGACTTCATTCAATGAGCAATGTTCCCAGTCAACCATACAGACCTCCATTTTTATTATTTAACCAAAGTTCATGAAAACCAGTGACCTATACAACAACTAATTCTCCGAAAAGCAAAGCCCGATGGTTGTGAAAACAGTTACTCAACGATGACATTGGCTGGCGGTTGCGCTATATCGTGAGCTAACAGAAGTTGGAAATATGGACCATTGGATTCTGACCCAGTGGCTAGCTCAATGCTAAATGGCTGCCCACGGAGCCTGAAGGTCGTGGGTTCGATCCCTGGTGGCGCGGGGTCATGGGTGAGTACTGCTGAGGAGTCCCATACTAGGACGAAAGAGCTGCCCAGTGCTCCCAAGTTTCCTTTGTTCCTCCAACCGATGTCAGTCTATGATGAATAACAACTTGAAATAAAGTATATTCAAAGAATTAGAAAAACTTACCGCAATCAAGTAACTCATCTTCAGCTGTACAAAATCCAAGTGTCGCTTGTATAGATGTTTTAGCACGAATTTCACTAAATTATCAAAATGAAAAGTAACTTTTAAAAATCATGAAAAAAATAACAAATAAACAAATTCATGTGTTTACAAGATGTGATCATAGAAGAAAAACTGTACAAATGATGCACAAATTAACTGCCGATACTGTATAGTTGTTCAAGATGAAGGAAGTAATTGGGACAGAGTCTAAACACCTGATTACCTACCTAATCAACCATTAATACTAGCTCTGAAGGATCTAAGAAATGACAACAACATTACAACTGCCGTAGATGATTACGGCTATTCAATAATAGTTATGAATAAATTGAATCACTTCATGAAAGTCAAACAATGGATCCATACGAGACAATCGCAAGACATACAGACACTGCTAGGAATAAGACTAGAAAGTTCACATCTGATCTAATACACTGAAGTAAGTCACCTTTAGGTGATTCAAAATGGTTGAATTCAATGCCTGAATGTATTATACCTCATTAAACTCGTCATTGACTTCACGACGGCTTCAATGCATGAGTTATCTAAGCATTCATCGTCAATAATATAGCCTATGAGAAGCCACTTTTACACTCTAGACTATCCGGTTCATGTGAAACGACGAAAACATTACATAATATTCAGATAGAAGGTGCAAAAATGATTATTTATACTAATGTACCAACCAATATGGGATTGGAGGCTGTCAAAAATAAACTGAGCAAAGATTCTGAGCCTACTCACTAAACTAAGGGACCGATCGAGGACATCATGTTCGAAGTTCAGTGATATCTTACCCCTACAAGTCATCGAATTCCAAGATACAATATACAAAAAAAAACGGAGGTAATAACGATGCCTACAGTCAATTTACTAGTTTCACTTAAAGGTTGATAACTGTAGGTCACACAAATCTAGACATGAGACTAGATCCAATCCAGAAGTCATACAATCTCCAGTTCACCTCTTCCAAACTATACGAATTACAAAATGTAACTACTGGTCAGTTACCCAAACACTTCCACAATGTCGCTAAGGGTATGAATCCCACTCTAGACACTAAGATCTAAGCAGCCGGATAGTATCGTCAGCCCACATCCACAAGAAGTGATGAACTGCCTACTACACTACAGTGTACGCGATTGCTGGATTGTATTTCATTTTCTTTTCTTTTCAGACAGTCCTGTTGGTGTTCAGAAGATACTGCCCTCTGACAACATCATCATCTAATACAGCTTTATCCCTCATATACTCCAAGTCTATGAAAGAATAACCGAGAATACAATCAATCTCTATAAAGTCAATAGAAAAAAAGTGTAACCTTTCAAAACACAGAATCAAACAAAGGTGGAAAATGGATATTTCAGATCACTAATTAAATGCAGCCGTTTCTAAAGATACCTTACAGTAAGATTTGAACAGATCATGCGTAAATCAGCAAAACAACGGAACCTACAACAATATGATAGATCTGTTGTATACTCTGAATTGTAAATATCTATCAAACAATAAAAGAAACTTTCAAGTTGTTATTCATCGAAGACTGACATCAGTTGGAGGAATGGCTCAATGGTAATGCGCTGGTCGCGGAACCTGAAGGTCGCGGGTTCGATTCCTGCTGGTGGCGTCGTGGGTGCGCACTGCTGATGAGTCCCATACTAGGACGAAACAGCTGTCCAGTGCTCCCAGGTTTCCTTTGTTCCTCCAACTGATGTCAGTCTACGATGAATAACAACTTGAAATATTTCCAAATCTCTACAACCCCCTCAAAATTTAATAAAAGAAACTGCTGAATACAATTCAAACCAATGAACTTACGGCGATAAAAGTTGAAGTTTCTGTTCAAATAATAATTCCAACTTTTCAGCACAACGTCCAACACGTGATGATATCTCATTGTAACGATAACAATTCAACAACATTAGACGAAAATCACAGACAAACTCTCGTATACTTCGATAAATTCGATTACAGAACTTTTCATTCACTAGAAATGAGAAATTTAAGAATGGAAACAACTAAGATATACAGGCATTTTAAACGATAGGATTTATGAATATCAGAAACCTGTCACAATTAAGAATAATAATGTGAATCTTAAGCCTGAAATGAGATTGTATATTAGGCTACAGAACAACGGCATACTCACCTGCCTCTGACACTAACCATACTTATTATGATGGTTTTATTCGAATCTGTCTACCAAAAGATCTACCAGTTTGATTGTGAACAGAGTACCGAAAAGGCTAAGCAAGGCTCTCTACTAGAAGCCTCTCAACTATGTAAGCACTTATGGTAGTTGTCTTTTGAAGGGATAACAACCAATGGTATTTGCCATACACGTCCGCTTCCATTGTTTCCATTTAATCTTGTTATAAGTGTGGTAATTGACATAGGTACATGTATCCACGGCTTTATACAGACTGACTTATTTCCAGGAAGAAATCTAGCTGACTTAGAGTACTCAAAAGACTGATATATCAACCGAAAACTATGGCAAAATGTAACTTTTCTGAATACCTTCAGGGGAAATATCAGTACTTTGACACGGGTATTGCACTGGTCAAATATAAGATGAAACTTCAAGACTGAGCTCCACTGACTTCTTGCTTGATGATAGAGAGTGGAGTATGGAGTGCATGGATATAAAGGACTCGATCGCCTTTCGCCAATTTATACCATATACCACAGAAGTCCCCTGTATCTCATTGTATGACTTGCAGACATGACCCCTGAAAGTAGAAGAGATCATATCCTGTTGATTAAAGGTGTCTGAGTAGCACTGCTCGTGTATGGTGGGATCACCTTGTAAGCAGTGGTGACGTTAAGCTGGCGGAACCACGTAAGAAAGGTAACTCAGTCGATAAGGTTGTGAACCTACTCTAACTTAGATGACTTGTATTTGTTGCGCATACCCTGCCATCACCTAACGTACGATGTTAGACGTGGTAGAATTGGGTTGAAAGAATGCCAATGATGGTGATACCACGATGATATCAGTCTATGAAATCTTTGAATATTGGTTTCGGTCATTTAGCGAAGTGGGAACTGTCTAGCTACGGTTTTCGAGATAAAAATCAGTAGTTGGAGGCTCATGGTGACATGACTGAAAGTTGGTCACAAGGGTGTATTCATTCTTTCACGCCCTAGAAACCTTAAATATTTTCACTAACCTCTATCTGTTAACTCTCTTAACCCTCATATACATTTATCTACCTGAATATCACTCCTTCTTTATTAACTTGTTTTTTGCACGATGCTGTTAAGTGCGGCAACTTTAGTTGATGCACTCGTGACAGATGTGACAACTCAGACAGTTATGCAGTAATACTGGGCTCCATGTTGATGCTGACAGAATATACCAGGTTCTGCGCCCATTTCCTGTTTCTATCATCAGCGAAACTCTTGTCTAAATCAATATGTTTCTTAATATCACCACTTTCCTTTTGTGTAGGACCGTGAAGTGCGATAACTTGAAGCGGTACACTTCTAAGCAGAGCTTTAAGTTGATTTGTTAATTTGTTGTAATCTACCAATCAAGGTGCTGAGGTGTTAGGCATATAAAGGGAACTACCAGAAACCATGAACCATGTGAATGAAATAAATGCATTATATTTTTATAAAAACACAAACATGGTATAAAAAAAGGGCACCAAGAACTGCACCACATAAAATAATATAACAACATTATGAAGACGTAAAGCAAAGTAAAGTGAATTAAAAGAAAAACACAATACAAATAGAATGGTTAGAAAGACATTCTAGTAAAATACCTTCATAACACGTTCACCAACAACAGAGAAGAAAGCTACACCATGACCGTCACACGCTCACATTCTCAGCCATGTCTCATAACGTATTAAATCACTGAGTTGTCTAATCTCTCCGAACCACACACACCCCCACCCCACCTTCCCCGCCCCATACACACACACACACACACAGAGTCGTGATGCAACAACAGATCCTAACTCCATACAACCACCACTCATCACACAATGCCACCTCACACACTGACAACCCCTCCGCTTCTCCCACCCACCCATCCATTCATCCATCCATCCACCCGTCCATCCATCCAGTAACAAAGCTACCAAACAATCAACGGTATAAAAGCCGTTAACACAACTTGCATAACATATACCCAAGTCACCCAAACCGGTGTTTCCAGATGAATTCACCCATTGAATTATGATCTACATCATAACCGAACACACTCTGTAGTACCTCACTATTACTTACATCATGCTGCCGATGGATACCAGTAATCCTACGAAAACAACGATGATCGAACACATAGGGCCGTCACACATACTCAGCTTGGAGAGGCCAGGTTTCACTGGTATAGAGCAGAACTGTTCACACCGAAGGATTGTAAATCCAACCTTTAAGGGTCAGACTAACATCGCGACAGCTTCAAAGGTGGTTTAGATTGGCGTACACCACTCTGGCTTTTGATATGACGTTAGAAATTTCATCACATACCTCCACCAATACTCACACAGCCACCCAGATGCATGAACTTTCCGACTACTTCCAACAGGTCACCTAGGGTGGATGCAGGCATAGGCTCCTGCCAATCTTCCAAAAGTACTTTGCACCTTCATGGCTCAAAGTACATACCATGGATTACGGACACTAGTAGCTAGCTGATTAAGTGCAATTTCAGTAGCCTGTGAGTTATCGCCCAGTAAGATGTTATCAACCACGTACTCAAGGTCGAATAGGCATTTTACGGGTACTAGATCCACACCACCATCACGGACTTCTTTCAGAGCTGTCTTAAGAATGTCACAAATGGCAAAGTTAAAGGGGAATAAAGAATTCGGGCAAACCTGCCTAACCTCACTACTAGTTCTAAACAATGGAAACAAGTGGTTGTATGCCCTGACTCTACCTGAGGTGTTATTATATAAAGTTTTCAAGATAATAAACTTCTCAGGCATGTCTCTCACTAAATGGCAATTCCAGTCAGCTTTGTCCAACGAATCGAAAGCAGCCCTAATGTTAAGAAACACGATTTTCGGCTTGCAATATGTCTGGCGATGTTCAACCATCTGGCGGAGAGTAAACACATGATCAATGCATCCAAGACATGAACGAAACCCACCCTGCTCCTCACGAATAATTTTCTCATGCATTTTGCAATCCGCGAAGTATGATAGCAGCCAATATTTTCGGCGCTACTGATAACAGACTAATACCCTGATGATTGTTACATACATTACCTAGACCATTTTTAAAGACGGGCGCAACAATCGCTTCATTCCAGAGTGATGGGACACTCTCAGCCTGCCATGCCCTCTCAAAAAATCTAGTCAGCCTCACGATACCTGCGTAAGCGTTGGGTAATCTTTCGCGTAAATCTCTTACGCGAACTATTGTATTCGTTATCCACCGAATTGTCCAGTGGACGTCAAGAAGTTGCAGGGAACTCCCACAGACCTAGTGTTTACTAGCGGGACGTTATTCCAAGCCGCTAGGGGCTTTACTCGCCATTTTCATGACGTCTTGCAAGTGCACCTAATGCTCATTCACACTTCCTGGAGGATCGATAGCTACCCCTACATCTAGCTCGGATTGGTATTTGGCTGCAATGTCAGGTGCGACTAACTTTCTTGCATCGACCTGTTTAGGACGACGGTTTTGATGACCACCAAAACGTTAGACGGGCTTGGCACACACCAAAAGCATGATCATATTCCATACAAGTACTTTATATGCAGTGGAAGTCGCGTATGCATCGAAGTCATCGGCAGCCGCTTGCAATATGATCTATTTGAGTCCAAGTTTCATTCGCAGATGGAGGACGCCAAAAAGCACAACGGAGATGGGTGTGCCAAAAGTTGGTGCTGGCTAGGAATAATTTGTGACCTGCGCAAAGCTGCAGATGACGATTCCAATTATCCGACCTGCAGTCACCTAGTCCCCACTGGCCACCTAAACGACTCTCCTCTGAGCTTAGACGTCCGACTAGTGCATTCAACTCCCCAGCTACTACTACGATATCTGTCGAGAGCACTCGGTTGAGGTCACTTATTTGAGTTGAGTAAAGATGAAGACAAAATTGAAAATGGTAATACAAAATACAGTCCATACATAAAAGTAACAAAAAATATATAATGGCAATAAAATGAGTAATCGGTTATAAAGTTCGTAGTGCGGAGAGCCTGAATGTTTGCAGGAAAGTTGGTTGCTTCGAAATTTTCATTTTACACTGTATATTCATTTTCTGTGTGAAGGCTGGGATATTGCCCAAGCGCCCAGACTGCAGCAAGCGGTTGTTTTAGGGGACCACTCCCCGAACCTTTGACTTGGTCTAATCCACAAGATAGTGAGGCAGCATCAGGAGCTGCATTCCAGCGGTTGCCAGTGAGCAAAACAGGTTCATACGCCATTCATTCCATCTGGAACCTAGAGCCTATGTGCACAAATGGTTTTGAACCAGAGTTTTCCATTTCCCCTAGATGGACCCTAAGTATCCACCAATCCAATGATAAGCGCCGGACATTCGCTTACGCCTTTTCACTTCTGTGGAAACACCCCTGCCACGTGAAGGAATTGAACAAGACTGCTCTGGCAGAGGCTGTGAACGTATATCGGGGTGTATGAAGGCCGTAAATAAATGATAACCAAATAATTCTCTGAAGTATGCCAATACAATTGCCGTAGTATAGCCAAGGGTCAAAAGAGTCCATCCTCCTCTCCCAGAAAAGACTGTGCTGATGGTTTCTAACACAGAAGTTTAGCTCGCCACATTAACTAAACACTCATCCCCTCAAAAAAGTGGAAAGACCGTGTATGGAGTAACAGGGGTCTACCAAAGGGAGCCGGAAAACTGACTCCAAACCAGCGGTGTACAAGAATTTCAATATCACTAAGGAAATTATATTACACAAACCTATACTGATAACCAACAACTTTTAGAATGCATATCCATATGTTGCTTCACCACCTATGCAACTGAATACTGAGTTCACCTCCTTCAATTTTAGTATACAAGTAGTATAGCGCTCATACGGAATTACATAAAAACGTAACACTTCAAACGATAAGTCCGACTATAGTGCACATCTTATTGTACATACTGTATGAAAATTGGTTATTACAATAAATCACTAACAAACACATGAACTTACTTTTATTGAGACATATAGGAACCGTTCCTACGATTTTTAAGTCCTTGTTTTCTTTTATCGATCCAGATTCATCCATAAACAAATAATTAATGTGAGCATACTGCCGAGACATCATAGTCTCTAGAATTTCCCAAGATAACTTCACTTCCGGGTTATCTTCTTTTAGATCCATTTTAGAATTAACAATTAATGCATTGAGTAAACACCTGAATTAAACAATTTAGAATATTCATGATTAAATGATTTCAATTTGAAATCCAAGACCTGATCACTTGTTAAAATATCTCAGAATATAAGATTCATACAGCAACTGTGATATACGTATACCTCTTAAATTGAATTTCATAACAAACCTTTGAAGAAAGCTCACATTTAAGTGACGACAAAACATATGCGACATAGCAGAAAGAATAACTGGGTAGTCAAACTTTACAGCGCCATAGAAACAGGAAAGCTAAAACACAATATGCGTTAAAATGAACAAGAAAAGCACGGGTAGCTACCTCAAGGTTAATATCGATCATATCCTACTAGCTGATTATCTAGTTCTTCCTTAAATACATAATACACAATGTAATCTTTCAATTCTAGTCCAGTGAGATTGTTTATTCATAACTATTTTGTATCCAGTAAAAGTCACCACATGTTACGGACTAGCCTGTTTTGTGGCTAAGCATACGCTTTAAAAGGAGATAGTTGTCTACAAACCTCTGATGGTAACTAATACGGATGTAAGTATAGACACTTAAGAAATACAGGGTAAATCTTTCACCGGAACTCAGTGGAGCTGTAGGCTTTATGCTCTCAAAAATAATGTTTTACCAACATATTTAGGGGCATGAGAACTAGCTGTTCTTAGTCATCTTATTGAACAGATGAGAAGGGAAGAGAAATCTCATCCGGATTTGGTAAGGATACATTGGTAACTCATTCTACTTTTAGATCGTAAGACCTGTTGATTGAGTTGATACATTGTGCTGACTTTTACTGCTTTAAAATGAAGTTTTAAGTCCGTCGGTATTAGACCGAAGGAGCTATTTTGGGAGCTTAAGTTCTGAATGAAGAGTTGTCAGCACAGAGATGTGACGAAAATTTAAAGGACGGAAATGAGAATCGATGACAAGGAAGAATTTGAGAGCTGCTGTAAATGCGTCTAAGACTTAGACTTTGAAATTGCATAAAACACTGATGATTACATAACGAAAGGTCTATTTTAAAAAGGGCGATCTCTATGAGAAAGCTGTCTAAGAACCCAAACGACTGAACACATAAACATCATATAATTCGGAGTGATTTACAATTGAGAAGAATTACTGTCAGAAATGGACCTGAAGAAACGTATGTTATTTCCCTCCCCAACGATTAATAGACCCGTTTCCAACAAAATTAACACATTATAGCCATTGTTTTTATGAATGGGGGAAACTGACTGTCGTTAAATCCCCATACAGCTAGCAGTACAGATCCTCCTGTAAGCCCAAATTGTTATAGTCCTTCACTTTGAGATAGCGGCTTTTGGCCTTCCCAACAAAACCTGATATGTTACAGCTGGGGAGTTTTTCATGCGATATATCCCGACTGGATCAGTGCTATAATCATACACAAAAACTACGTTGGGCTATGTAACTCTTAAAAAAATTTACATCACTACACTAGTTCCCATACCTTGGTCTTTTCACGGTCCCTTAACACTGCTGTCAAAATCACTACGGTTTTCATTCGCTCATTGATCTCTCCACACTGTTGATAATGTACTAAAAACTTGAACTTTCATTTTACTAGTCTGGCTCTGATGTTTTTGTCCGTTAGTACATAATGTTCAGTAACCAAAGGAAACATGACGTCTGGTTTGAAAAAAACGCACTCAGCAACTGTGTGCACATTCGTACAGTAGGCAAAGAGCCACACCTACCGTGAAGGTCAGTGATACTCAGTGGCTGACTAAACTTCAGTAGATGAAGTGGTGTTCGAACCAGTGAACCAGTGGCTGAAAGTGAAATGTCTAAACCAGTGAGTTACATCTCTATGCTCTCCAGCTGCTCATAGACCATTTATTACGCCTTTTAACATTCTACTAATGAACTACGTACTTCGACACTAACAGCAGGATTTGATATTAAACTATACCACTTAGTCAGTCACTATACTATACTAATCATGATAAAAAAATATGGAATTTGATATGGCAAAGCGGGACTTTACAGCGTATACATTTTAAAAGTAATGAACCCATTTGCAGTAGATGCCAGCTTTAAGAAACAATAAAGAGATGTGGCATAAAAAATACATTTTAAACAATGTAGGATCTACATGGTTGCACCCCAGTTATTAAAGGTAGCAACTTTGAACTGTAAAGTGACAGAAAATAAGGAAGGCAACGGTTAAAATACCTTACAAATATTAGCAGAAACCATAAGACCAACCTCGCCTAACTAACTAGTTCACTAGTTACTAGCCGGTCCTAAGCCCGGTAAAGAGGGAAGGTTGGGCATAGGACTAGCAACCCTAAACCGGAAAACCAATCCAATCCCTAAACAAACTTCAAAGCACAAAGAAGTTATGAAAAATAAAACAAACATTCCTTGCTGGAATCGGAGAGGCGAAATGATGCCGGGTGATGAAAGCCTTCAGGAAGCCAATTGGCCGATGTGTCTTCTACCCCTCCAAGAAAGCGAAAGTAAACGTGGGGACATGGAATGTCCGCACAACGTTTGAAGCTGCCTGGCAAAGCTGCCAGATTGCAAAAGATATGAGAAGGTATAACATAGAAATGCTAGGAATCTGTGAGGAATCTGCGAAAGCAGATGGAATGGAAGTGGACTCTCCAAACTGTCAACTGGGAAGGAGTCAATAATCTACTCCGATATTGTCACCCAGATGACAACCACGAGCACAGCACACTGAGTTTCGGAGTAGCTATCATGATATCTCCAACAGCATCGAAGGCTCTCATGCAGTAGAAACCAATGTACTCCAGGATCACGATCATGACAGCAAAATTCAACTCAAAAGAAAGGAAGTCACAATCATTCAGTGCTACCCGCCAACAAATAATGCAGATCAAGAGAAGGAGGAATTCTACAGACAACTGCAATTAGTACTGGACAACACCCCACTCCAGTTGGCTACATCAAAATTCTAATGGGTGACACGTTGTAATGCGAAACTGGAGGCGGACAATGCAGGAAGAGGACCAATCATGGGCAGAGAAACACTCGGTGAAATGGTGAATGAGAATGGGGAACTGTTTACAGAATTCTGCGCATTCAACGATTCGGTGTTTGGAGGCACTTTGTTCAAGCACAAGGATATCCACAAAGCGACATGCATTTCATTTCACCAGATGGAAACACTAAAAATCCACTTCACATCCACTTCATCTCAATATGAAGAAGGTAGAGACGCAGCCTACTTGACACAAGATCAAGAAGCGGAGCAGATGCTGGTTCACGCCACTTACCACCAGTGCAAAGAACATTCAAAATCATGTTGAAAGCTTTCAAAGAAGTTGGTGTAAGACCATAGTTCAAGTTCAACACCTAGAACAGAAACTGAACTGAAGGATGAAACTACAAAGAACATCTTCACGCCAGCCATCAGAACAAAATGGGAGACATTAGGCAACATCCCTGAGGAAACCTGAATGGAAGAAGACTGGAACTCTTTAAAAGGGACGTAGAAAGAAACCTGCACAACTGGGTTAGGAAGGGAGAAGACAAGGAATGGATCTCGACTGATATATGGAAGCCGATAGATGAGAGGAAGATGGTGATGGTGAGACGGAAGATGAACCAGTGCAGTGCAGGCATAAACAACGAAAAGAGGAACTGAACTCAACGTATAAAACACTGGATAAAGAAGTGAAGAAGAGTGCACGCAAAGACAAAAGACACTTCCACGACACACTGGCAAGTGAAGCACAACAGTTCACAGGTAGGAGAGACCTGACATTATATCAAATAACCAGATTACTATCTGGGGAGAGCTCAACACAGACGAAACCAATGAAAGATAGTGAAGGAAACCTAGTCACCAAAGGGGAGAAACAAAGGAAAAAATGCACTGACCACTTCAAAAAGCTCTTCAGTCGACCACCACCACCTACAACTCGTCCAGAAATACCACCAGCAACTGCTGAACTACTAGTGAACACAAGCCCTCCGACAAAAGCCGAAGTCCTCAACGCCATAAAGTCGTTGAAATCTGGGAAAGCAGAAGGACTAGATAGAATTCTTCCAGAAGCGCTGAAAGGAAGGCAGACAACAGTAGACATGCTCACACTACTACTGTAGAAGGTTTGGAAGGAAAGAAAGATACCTGGAGATTGGAAGAAGGGGTACCTTGTCAAACTCCCAGAGAAGGGAGACCTAAGTCTTTGCAAGGACATGAATTCACGCGGAGTCATGCTGCTGTCCACCTGAAGCAAAATATTATGCCGCATCATCCTGGAGAGACTAAAGCATGCTCTGGACTCAAATTTACGACCGCAACAGGCTGGCTGGCTTCGGGAAAAACAAATCATGTGCGGATCAAATTGCCATGCTAAGCATCATCATAGAACAGAGTATAGAATGGCAGTCAACTCTCAACCTCAACTTCATCGACTTTGAAAAAACCCTCGACAGCGTCGACTGAAAAGTAATTTGACAGGCAGCTACCTCAACACTACGGAGTGCCACAAATCTTTATCAACCTCATTCAACAGCTATATGAAGACGCTAAATGCAAAGTGACCCACAGTGGAAAGCTCAGTGACGCCTTTGAAATGAAAACAGGAGTAAGACAAGGCTCCATACTATCACCGATGATCTTCCTCATTGTGGTGGACTGGATTGGACTGGACCGTGCAATAAACTGTGAGGAGCTGTGAGAAGGTGGGCATACACTGGCTGGACCGGTGAAAAGACCCCAGAAGAAGATTCAGATTTCACTGATGATTTATGTCTGTCTTATGTCGCACAACGTCGAAGATCTACAGGCGAAAACTAACAAGTTGACAGAAGAGGCGAGGCAGGGCAACGAAGGAATATAAGACTTCCTTCAGGTGGATGTAGAGAAGACGGAGGTAATGAAGATACCAGCAAACAACAGCATGAACAACAAGCACTAATCACCACTAACGAGAGAAACCTAGAAGAAGTCTCTTTCACCTACCTAAGCAGCATCGTTTTAACTACAGGCAGAACTTACGAGGACGTCAAAGCCAGGATCGGAAGCACAGGAAGACAGGCCTTCCTGCATTAATCTGAAACCAGTGTGAAGAACTACTGTACTCAGCGTAAGCGTGAACAGGACCCGGATTTTCAACACCAACCCAGTCAAGTCAGTGCTTCTACATGGTTGAGAGACTTGGAGCGTTACGAAAAGCATTTCCAACAAACTACAGACACTCATCAACAGCTGCCACCTATGCTCACTCCATACTGAAGATCAATCAGATGGCCAGAATAATAAGAATAAGCAACAAGGAACTCTGGGAACGAATTAACCAACAACCTACCACCCAACAAATATGCAGAGGAAGAAAGTGGAGATGGACTGAGTATACACTGAGAAGGCCGACTGGAGACATCACGTGCCAGGCCCACGAATGAAATCTAAAGGGGGAAACGACGAGTTGGCCGTTCGAGGCGAGGGTGACATGGAGGAGATCACGTGAGGAAGAAATGAAAGCTTGTGGGCAGTCGTGGAGCGAGGTTCAAAAGACTGCAAGAAGAGAGTGAAATGGAGACGTGGTACTGAAGCCCTACGTTCCTTTAGGAACCCAAAGGAATAATAATAATAATAATGAAACCGGGATAAAATCAGCAATGGAAGTCGTACACACAGTTTATCACTGAGGTGCAAAACGTAACAGACACTTCTGTTGACTTTAGAAGCTAAGCCCAAAATAATTACTCAAATATGTGGCTATAAATGCAGCTTTTATGCAGTAAAGAATATGATGATCCGTGTGTACTTTCCCTACAGACACACAACAGTCAAACAATTAGTCATTGTTGTAAGACTACCGCATCTAATTCTTCATAGGAAGCCGACACCATTTCAAGTCCCCAGTAATTTCAGACTAGTGTCATACACCAGAGCCAGTTAATATAATATGTTTCGTACAGTTATCTGGATCGCCAACATGGTTTATGAGTAACTGACTGGACAGAAATCAAAAAAGATGCTAGCGACTCTTCGTCTAAGTCTTGCAGTTTAAAAACCGCGTTTTCACGTATGTAACTTTCATGGCCATAATGCACAATACATGCAATCACACAAACAACTTAGGTCAGACTAACGAGTTAAAGAGTTATACTTGATGAGAGGTTAAAATAACAAGTCAGTGCATTGCAAGACTACCTTCACATGATCACATAACGATGTCATAAAGGAACTATCTTAATAAAGCTTTCCCAACACAGAAAGTAAACATCTGCTGAAGCTCCGTAGATTTTGTATCTGGATTCCTCCGTATTACTGCTGTGATAAGCTAAAAATCCAGATGCTGCGTTGAGCTTATCTCAGGTCGACGCTAAAAAATGTGCACAGGACATCAAAATACAACTTCTGAAAACCATAGTCCCAAATAATTGACGAACTAAGCACCTGAAAATCCAAACTACCCGCCAAAATTCTGCCTGCAGTGTAACGCATAGATTATTTTGTACGCTGTTCGTATATTACCGGCTATAGGAGGTAACAGAAAACCGTGACCTTGGATGTATAAGCTACCGTGACCTAGACTTCAGTACTTTTGTTTCCCGGAGGCAATGAAATACTGATTTCTTCTCCTGAAAACACCCCAAATGAGCCAAAATGACGTCTTCTGAGAGACAATTTAACGTTACCAAGATCGTTTTCATTCCTGAGTGAATTCGCTTCTTTCTGATCCAAAAATAGTTGTGCATTGTTTCGACACATTATTTAATTTTATGGATGCATTCTTACAATCAAGATCATATGAAACAAATAAATAAAGCGATAATTTCTTTATTCTCACATCAGAACTTTAACATGAGGAAAGCTAGTTTACATTGATATATGTTGAGCCCTAACTGGTACACAGGGTATGACATTAAACTCTATTGTAAACATAAGAAGATCCTGCTAGTTATGAAATGAACAGGAAAATGTCGCTTTCCAGCGAATAGGGAATGTTAAAGTTTACATAATGAAAATTCTTATCCTCATACAATGAATTTGACATGAGAGGTGTCAGTTTGCAGGCATCGTCAAATTGATAATTCTTGGAAGTTTACAAAATAGTATTCACATACCAAGTCACCGATGTGCATGATCTTATTGAAACTTGCTGGGATTGATGGGATAGACATAGATTTTCATCTCCCGTCGCACAGATAGGTTCCATTATTAAGAACAAAAGCGTGAAATGTCCCAAGTTTGCGTTATAACTAGCCGACGTTGTTCGTCCATTTGGGTGGTTTGTTGTTCAGTAATATAACAGTCTATTCATCAGAAAGTTCTTCAGTATTTAGCTTTGCTAAACTAAATCGTTCCATGGACATTCAAGTATGCAAATAATATGTGAAAGAGGAGACGAAAATTCTTAATTGAACTGCAGGAAACTTGCTTCTTCCCAACTTGAAGAAGTGTCGAATTATGATGGTTGATAAACACAAAGGCAGTCCCAGTTCTTACTGTCTGGGTGAAGTAAATATCTGCTGCTCTAACATGGAACAAGATCAGGAAGTTACACTAAGTGATACACTAGGAACCTCAGTTCACTGTCGCCTTGCAACCAAAAGGGCTTATGGAGCCCTGGGGTTTCTCTCGCGAACCTTAGGGTGTCCAACTCTTCTTTTCACTACAGTGTATGCTCTTTACATTCGCCCTCATCTCGAAAGGAACTTGCTTGTGATGTCCCCATATTTGAAAAAGGACGTAGCCACCCTAGAATGAGTACAGAGAAGAGCTACAAACAAAGTGATTGGGTTACTGCACAAACCGTACCCAGACCGCTTAGTTGCTCTTCAGCTGCGCCCATTACAATACCGGAGGATCAGAGGGGATATAGTCATGATGTACCACATCGCTCATAATCACCTCCATCCCGACAGATCCCTTCTAAGCTTTAGTCGGAAACGCGACTTGAGGGGTCGCCCGTTAAGAATAGAGCATGAAACAGCACGTACAAAGATCCGTGCCAACTCGCTTGCGGTTAGAGTCCGTAAACTGTGGAACTCCCTCCCTTCAGCAGTTCTTACAGCCCTATCCCCTGATACCTTTAAAAGGAGGCCAGACGCACGTCTCGAGTCCTACGGTACCGATGGGCTATACTCGAGAAGCTTTCCCTAGATCAGATGCAGTGATACTACTTTGGGACCAGATTAATTAATAATCGTGTCTCTGTCCTTCAAGCTTTTCAGAACCGGGAAGATAACTGTTACCACTCCAAACTCGAAACATATTCCAATAAGACGGAAGTAGAACCCAAGGAACCACCGTTCACTAATTCCACAACATGAAGTTTGAAGTTTATGGGACTAGTTAGGATCAATGTGATTTAAACACCCGCAGACGTCAATTTCATAGGGGGTTGACATAGTTTTCTATGAAAATCTTACCTTTAAACGTAACTTTCCACGTGTGCATTCCAACTTACGGAATTTCTAAAGAGATTTTCGCTATACGACGGATGATTAATCTGAAGTACTTTTCTTCCATAAGAACCAACCCTGACCAACGATTCCAGGATGAATCAGTTTCCTGCTTAAATGTACTCCCAGGCTGCAATCAGCCCCAAACAAAAGCCTTGAACTCGTAAAAGTATGGTATAACAGAACGGTTATATCAAAAGCTAATATCTGCACCTTCAGTCGCAAAAACCCCACTGGGGACTAAGGAACTGCCTCCAGTTCTACTGGCCATCTGGAATCCGATTAGAAGTGATGCCGAGTGCAATTCAGCAGAACTGGTTTATGAGATCGCTCTCACGCCACCGGGGGACTTCATCTCACCTTCCACCACCACGCTGGTTCTGACAGAATGTCCCACATCACAAGGCTTACTTACAAGATGCACTCAGCTAAGTTTTCTCCTTTCCGGCCGTCAACGACCGACGTTTTAGTTACCTCGTTGAGCAGAGAACATCACGAGTTTTCCTCCTTCCCAATATTATTCATCAGCCAGGTGAACTACCTCGGACTTATGATTATAAATCAACATAAACACATTTTTGTTGTCGAAGAAAGTGATCGTAAAACTGCCGCGAGTACCGAAAAATTGGAAACAGTCATTTCACATGTGCCGCCTCCTACTAAATAACTAGCTGACTGAAGGCTGGGCTGTTCGAGCTCACGGAAAAATCACCTATTAGTTCAGAAACACTATCGTCATCTGTGTTGGAAGGAGCACCTCCGAGTCGAGTCATTAACATTCCACAACACTAGAACATGCCCAGCTGGTCGGTGTCCACAACCAAAAGCAGGTTCCTCTTTCAACAGCATAAGCGAATCAAATTATGCCCCGGTTGTACGTAAGAGGAAGATAACTTGGCTGACCAGGCCGGTTGGTGCCAGTGACAACCGAAACAACTCTGCAGGTCAAACTATTGGTGAGACCACGGCATCCAGCACTTCAGAAGATGCAAGCATAATGCAGGCGCCTCACATTTTGCAAGACTAACTAAACTTTAGTTGCCACATGTACACTATCACTTCCCTCAGAAATCGAAAACCTGAAGTCCTCTGAGGGGGAACCAACAGCAGAAATACGTGAACTGTAAAACTACAAGTAAGATAACACACTTCACGAAAATATAGCATGAGCGTCCGAAATGTCACCCAAGCTACATGGAATCAGAGCCTGTAGTAGCAATCTCTCGTCACTGAGCATCTTTACGCACGACAAGCCCATCAGCGAAGTCGATGCTGAAACACTAACCAAGGTAGATCGCGTGGTAAACTCTGTCACCGCTGAAGTGGGATACCTCCAGTAAAGCTCAGTGTGATAACTTACCACGTCTTTGACACGATAAGGCTGAAGGCGGCACGAGAAATTTTGCTTAGAACAGCGTTTCAGACCGAAAGGGAGTCAGCTGTACCGCTGCTGTCCCATACCCCTCCAGTTTAAAACATGCAGAGGCAGAAGGTTCACCAAAGCAGGACACGTCTTATCGAACAACACTACCTTTGCAGAAATAAAGATAGTTATAATACTAAATGTTTCCTTCTGATATTAGTAACTTGACATGAGAAAAGCCAGTCCACAGGCACTATTACACCGACACATGTCGGAAAATCCACAAGATTTTACGGGACCCGAATGGCGCAGAAGGGGGTTGTTAAAATCGACTAAAAACATCAGAGCATTCCACAAGTTAAGGAATGAAGAAGAAAATACTACTTTTCGACACATGCAGAGAGTTAAAGCTTCGACCGCTTCTATCATACCTTCTTTTTTCACCAGTGGCGGCACCAAAGTCACACAAAATTCCAAATTCCCGTTACAAGCAGTTGCCATGCTTGATTCGTCCTCTCACTGCCCTGATAAAACGGAGCGGAGGGGCTAGTATATAACTTCGCGCTCAGGTCAGACAGTCAGAAAGCTTCCAGTGAGGCATAGGATATCAAAACAGTGAACATTTCTCACGTCCTACTTTAACCTGAAATTTTGGATCCCCAGAACCCTATCGAATGGAGTATACGGAAAACACGTGGACCAAGTAGAAACGGACAACCGTGAAGTGTATAATTTAGCCCAGCGGTCTAACACTTTGAATTCGGACCTATCCACGGAAAGCACCAAGATAACAGTTGGGGCTGCACCCAAGGTCCTCGCACTCCCACTGGGGTCTGGCAGGAGCCTAATGTCCACAACCCACACCAGGCTGGGACCGAGGATATTAGCCATTCCGTATACAACCAGCAAACCAACGCATACATGTGACCTAACTGGTAAGGACGTACGCATGAACTATCCAGTGATTATAACTGGACCCTAAAGACCTTCTGGAAATGGTAGAAACACGTAAGTCAAACTGTCTATGAACAGCAGCCTCACTAAGATAGTTCACTTTAATATGCACCAGACCAGCACCACACCAGCTATGTGATGTAACTCGTGGCAGAGGGCAGTAACTGGTAAGGAATACAAAGGGAAACAGAAGTCAGCGTGGACCACAGAAACAATTTTTTGTGCATTACATCTTATCGGCTGCGGTTTGGACCAAACAAATTATGAGGATTTTGAGGCCCCTGGTTCTGAACCGCCAGCCTTAGCGTTCTTGTAGCAACAGAAAAACTACAGCCAACCGCGCGCATGGCTACCAAGCACCAACTACTTAAGTGGCATCAACAGATGGAATACACAGCGGGTCCGGCGCACCCTCCTACCGGTACCGCTAGCCCTACACACCCGTCACGTACAGAATCGAAGCTGAACGCTCTCTGTGAAACAGATACAGATGCCGCAGACCGTGTCCTCACTAAATCTAGCCCGCTCATGTGGATACGATGCGCACACTGAACGTCTTAAATGAAAACATCGTCCCATTCTCCTCTAATCAACATGGTGCTACCTTAAATCACTCACTCGAATCACCCACAACCACCGGTGATTAAGGCATCGAGACGTTTTGTAACGTAACGATAACAGGTCATGCTCAATCAACCGGTACTGAGATGCCTTCCAGTCTGTTTGGTGAGTTAGAAAGTTTTATTCCTTATTACTCTCTCACCTGTACATGTTTCTCAAAAGCACAGGGTCTAGCCTTGCAAACTGTAGGTGTCAAGGGAAGTCACACTCATATTTACACCGCTCGCAGTAATTATCACTGTATCTCGGTGCCGTGTAAATAAACCAGGTGAAGAGATGAGCACTGATATGCACAAACAATTCCGGTGTGACCGGAGTAATAAGGAAGGAGGGGTTGCCTGATGTACTTCTTGAACACTCACTGCGTTCAGGCTGGAAGATACGGATCACCGTACATCACAGGAACGTTGCGGCTGTGGTTGGAAACGTCTACAGAGCATCTAGTGCCCTTGTTAACCATGAGACCGCTAATAGGGCTGTCGAACATGCGCTGTCCCCCATGTAATCACAAGGTCATACGAGGTGACTTCAGCCTACCTGAAATTAAATGGGTGTAACGGAAAATTGATCTGAAAATCCCTCCCGATCACCCTTATTTGATTGCATTGACATTTATTTTAACATTTTTACCCTCGTTATGGATGGTGTACCTTTGACCCTCGCCGGTGTGATGTTATTTGCTTGTTAACTGTCTTATTTGACTTTACACTCGGTATTTGCCTTTGTATGTTTCAGACCTATTATGAATGTTTCACTTTCCTATTATGTGACGCTGACTGTTGACAAGGTGACGTTGTTTTACTGCGCACGACATTTTGTTTGGTTCAACTTACGGCTGTGCAATGATTTGATTGTTTGTCTTTTGACTGTCCACTGGGAACGTTTGTTTGTTGATTTGATTCCTGTAGGCAGAGTTTTGATCCCTTTTGCTGGGAATATTCCTATTAAGCGACAGGTACTTAACAGTTGTATTTGTTTAACCAGTTTTTACCGTGTTGTAAGTATTTGTACCCGAGAACGTTTTGGACTGTATAGTTACCCAACGGCACTGTTGAGATATTTTTGTAATTTTGACACAACTTATTGTTGCTGTGATGGTAACACAGATTTTGTTACGAATCTACTACTGAATTACTACAAACCGTGTTTTGATATTTTGATCCAACCTTTGACTGTACGTCACTCGCGGAAGTTAGGAAGCTATACAGTAGAACGCAGGAACTGGTCAGATTCACGTCAGTTGGTACCGCGTAGTTATTTCCCGCGTTCAGGCCAAGATTATTGGATTCTGGCAGCTACAATGGGATTCACTCACCAACCCAACCTGCGTAACAATTTTTCAGGCACTGACGGCTTTTGGAAGGAAACAAATCATTTCCACCACTGCAAGAGGTGACAGTGTATCGCATCTAATATTTTACCACAACATAATTACTCTTCTGATAAATGTAGGCTCCGAGTTTCCAGGAAGTGATCACAAAATGGTATTGTGTGCACCACCACTTCGACGAAGAATTCAGTTGGTAATTCCACAACAAACAGTACAAAGATACTGTGGTTGGGTGAACCGGAAGCTGATGTGTCCGATGATTAGGTGCGCTGACTGCGGATCATACTCCACCGCCGCAGATCTCAAATTGGCCCTTGATATACTTTACCACAACTCCAAAACCTGTCTCATCATCTTTGTTCCATCAAAAGGCTTCAACAAAATTCTCCCCTACGGTACCTTCTAGCGCTGACAGAAAATCACGCTAACTCTCGATGAAATGCCACGGATATCATGAATCAGATGGACTCCAGTTGAGTCTTGGCGTTCTCAATTATATTTCATGCTGCCATTGCATGTGTATGAGGGGTGAAGAGGGTAGTGGGCCAACCAGTCCACCTAGAACATTAGCTAGTAACCATAGTCCGATAAATATCACGCCTATCGTTTCTGGAAGTATGGGGGAAGTTGGTAAGGAAGGCACTCTCCAGCACATGCTCTGGAACAACGGTAATAAATTGGGTGAACATGGGTTTCTGAAGTCGAGATCCTCCACAACTTGTCATCTTGATTTTTTAAATCCATAACTACTACGCGCCACTGGTACCAATTGGTCCTTCTACCTTGTCTAAAGATTTTCAAGGGACTTGACAGAGTTGACCGTTTGTTGGCTCCAAGTTGTTGTCACTGGAGCTTGACTATTCCCTAACAGAATGGGTTAAATCCTTCCCCACTAACGGCACTCGAGCGGTAAAAGCGGAATGAAGTCCTATGCCGATTACCTCTGGTGTGGCTCAGGGAAATGCATTGGGTCCCCTCTGTAATTACTTCGTATGCCAACGACATTTGCAGCTGTTTAACACACCGCAAGCCACGACCTGAACGTTGCATGCGCATTCACTTATGCTGACCCATCCCAGTTCCAAGCACTCGTACAACTTGGGCCTTGCTCAAAATCCAAATGATCTGCTGCTTGAAATATTCGGCTCAATAAAGGTAAATGTGACTGGATGTGTTTCGTTCCTCCCAAGAAAATGCCTGTTTTTCTAGGCACCCGTGACCTTAGGTCAAGGTATGCAGGTGTTCTTACATTTTCTGAACCGGTTGAATCAGAGACAAGCGTACCCGGAATCCTGTTAAA